GGAATTCCATAGCATTTTTCTTTTTCGAGGTTTTGATGAAAGAGATACATTCATATTTACATTATAACATTTTCAAAGCATCCGAATGAATGACCTTCCGAGGGTCAGGGTTCGTTGCAGTTGAAATATTTGCATTTGCGGAAGTGAATCTGTAGGAAGCGCTGTAACAAAACATTCAGCTGATTTCAAACCGGAACCAGAGCTGGAGAAAGGAGACTCTGACCCGCCCACAGCCAGGACAGTCTCCCCGCTCATTGGCTGCGCCTGACGTCAATCCCCTCCTCCTCCTCCTCCTCCTCCTGCTTGTCGACTGACACAAACACAGACATCGCTACGTGATGTGAAGTTGTGATCGGAGGACACACAACAAGTGAACAGCATGAGAGGAGGAGGAGACACACGATCTTCACCCAAACATGTCTGTTCCAGTGTTTCTGTGCGTGACGTCGAACGGTGTCTTTAAAACGTGCTGAAGCTGAAGCTGAAGGAAGAAAGAGTCTCATTCTCCGACAGAGGAAACAGAGGACACAATGAAGTTTGCTCAGTTTCTGCTGAAGAACGCCTCCGTGGCTGGAATTCCGAAACAAGTGGAGAGGTTCTCCAAGTTCTCCCCTTCGCCCCTGTCCATGAAGCAGTTCCTTGACTTTGGTAAGCAACCGTATCAGGGTCAGTGAATGTGACTTAGCCGTACCTTCCTCCGGATGATCTCCTGCTGAGTTCTTGCATGGACTCGGTCGGACATTATCCGGACTTTTTACTTGTCTCTGTAGATTTCTCAGTTGATGTAAATGCTTCGTATGTTGTGTGTGTTTGGGAAATGCATCCTCCAGAGAATTTCCGGACCCAATTTTGCGGATATCTTCCGGAGTTTGTATTTTAAAATGACCTAAGGGGGACTGTCTGGGCTGACCAGATAATCCAGATTTGACAAGTGTTGATGAAGTGATTTTTTGAAGAAGACCTGGTCCAATGTGGTCTATTTGCGAAAAAACAACAACATTGAAATCTCCACCGTTATATCAATTTCACAAATTGAATATAAACATTTTTGAATATATCATCCTAGTGATGTTTTCAATAATGTGTTTAGTCTCAATTGCACAAATTTATGTTTTCTTTATCCCAGAATGGGCCCTTTATATTGGAATACTTTATATTTACATCAAGAGCAGGCCGCCATCTTTTTTACAGTAGTCCAAACTGGACAAACTAAACACCTTTTGAGTTTTTATGACAACTGAAGGCTACCACTTGTTTGGGGGGGGTCTTCAGCTGTAATATGAAACTTCACCTCTAAATGTAGCAAAGTCTTACACACTTAGCCTTTAACTGCCGAACCAGAAGCTGCAAATCAAAAGCATCTTCAGTGTCAGCTCTGGAGAATGTCAGGAGATTACCCGGAGTTCAGTGCATGTCTGTTGTCTTCCCCGATCACGTGGCTGTTGCACAACTGACCTTATTCTTTTTGTGTGTGTGGTGACAGCTGGCCACGCACTTCTCGGGTCAATGATAGACACCCAGACAAACACACACATGCAGACACACGGTCATGGAGGGTGTACATATTTTTTGGATCTTGTAGACGCACATGGAAGTTAAAATTTAACCTTGAATTTTTTATCAACTGCTCCAACTCATGCTGATTCTTGCACTTTACACATGCAACCTGGTGTTACTGTTATGTCAGCAAAAACATTTCAATTTTCCCAGCAATAGATTCCTGCAAAGCCCAACACCTTTATTTTTTCTGATGTCAATGAGTTCATGACCTTGCTGTGTTTATTTTATTGTCTTTGTTGACGCATTGAGGTCAAAGTTGAATGCTTGCTAAGGCTATTTTGTGTCCCCCCCCGTCTCTGTCCCTCATGTGACCAAAGGCTCGGCCAATGCATGTGAGAAGACCTCCTTTGTTTTCCTGCGCCAGGAGCTTCCCGTCCGACTGGCCAACATCATGAAGGAAATTGATTTCCTCCCAGACAAGCTCCTCGGCACACCATCCCTTAAGCTCCTCACCAGCTGGTAGGGTCACCAACCTGAACTGCACCTCTTTCTATTTAATCTGTTGTGCCACAGTCAGACTCTTTAAAGTCTGGGAATCACTCAATCTCAGTTGACAGACAACTGTTACTGCAGCAGAGTCAAATGAAGGGCGAGGAGAGGAAGGTGAGGGTAGAGCGAGAGAGTTCCGCTGTATATCTGCTGTCATTTAGTATTAAAGTTACCAGGTTAATCAAGGTCTTACAGGGACTGGTCCATGTTTCAGCACAGGAATGTCCTGATAAACCAGCGTCTGGGTTCCAGACTGTGGATTCCCTCTGTGTGCATTCGTCTCCCTCAGCTTTCGTGAACTCAGCATGTTACCTGCTTATCTGATGGGATGAACGCGGGGCTGTTGAAGTCGTTTGGGGTTGTGTGAGGTCACTCTCTCCTCCTCCCTCACCCACTTGTCCTCTGTGCACTCTCAAGATCAATGCCACTGTACATACTTCATGATCTTTTTTTATTATTATTATTATTAGATAGGGCTAATGCACAGGCCACTCTACTGGTGGTCTACATATTTAATATTTGCATTACATCAACATATTACATCTTATACATATACATTGAATATGCAGCACAGATTTAGAGTTTTGAAGAATGAATGTTACTTGGTGTCTACCAGCTTCACAAAGATCCACCATGTTTGTGGTCACAACCCTCACACAAGTCGAGCTAAACCAGCAGATATGAACCTGTGTACACACACACACACAATGGATGTAAAGATCAAGTATAGGAGTTTGTTTCTCTCTGTTACAGAACAGAGATTTAAATGATTTAAATGTAATACTATGAAATGCACCCTGGACACGTGGGACAGGTTTCCACCAGGGAATTTTGTGTATTGGATTAAACCTTACTCTTCTTTCTTTTACTTTCAGTTGCCCCTGTGTAAAGCAGAGTTTCTGCAGGGTTTTAAAAAGTCTAGAATATGTTAAAATATTTTAAATGCTTAGTTAGGTCATTTAATGCTAGCTCTGTTGGACTACGTACTTGACATAGATCTCAAATTGTAGTCATTTTAAGAAGTCTTAAATTTAACTTGCCCTGAAAAAGAAAAGAATAGGCACGGGTCGTTTAGTCATGCAGTCTATTTGTTTAAAGAGCTCAACAGCTTTTCTCAAAAGCCAAAAGAGGAGCCATGTTACTGGGTACCAGTTTTTCCACCAGTTGTGGATCCTTATCCCAGATCATTCTCCACTCTTTCAATGAGCCAGAGTAGTGTCTGTCTTCTCTTTCCCTCCACTGATAAAGTATTTACATTTCTTCATTCCCTGCAAAAGACTCAATCTGTCACTTGTTGATGTTGTTTACGAGACGCGAGGAGAGAGAGTGGTGACACCGAAATGTTTCCCTGCAAAGCTTCCAAGAATAGAAGTCTCATGATAGTCTGCAACAAGATGTTCATATGTGTTACCTTGATACAAAGCTGAGAGCTGAAGGTCAGCTCAGGGACACACTCAGCACCGTGAAAGCAAAGCTACGCTGCTGTTCACCTTTCACCCAGTTTTTCTACAGTGAGATGGTGCAGGCAAGAGCGTGACTCAGTGAGCTCAGCGCTGGGGTCTTCTTCTTCATCCACCCTCTGGCCCAGATAAAATAAAACAATCTATAATAAAAGGGGGGGCTGTGTCGTTAGGCATATGGAAAGGCTTTATGCTCTAATTATACAGTTGTTCTAGTCTTTTTAAATAAAAGAAAGTTAGTATTAAACAGCTCAGAGTAGCTTGTAGTGCTTTCAGATGAAGTTTCCGGTCATTGAAATCACTAGATATTTCTTTGGAGCTTTTTCTCATTCTCATAAACCACAGAGTGATTTTGTATTTCTGTGTATCCACCAGGTATTCACAGAGCTTGCTGGAGCTTGTCGACTTTTTGGAAAAAGATCCAGATGATAAGGACGTCCTGACGATGTATGTTCAAGACACTTTTTCAGCACATATGCATTGCTTACATACGTCTTAAAATGTGCTTGCTTGTTGTTTTGTTTCTCTTCTTTCTACTGCATTTTATTAATTCAGTAAAAACTGCCCAATCACAATCTTACATACAAAGTCCAACATATTGTACGGATGCCAAACTATCTGTTATGAAAACATCTGTCCTGTTCACACACATCTGTCCTGTTCACACATCTTGTTGTAAAGCAGCTGAAGGCCACCCACACATTAATTACAGTTAAAGCTCCGTAGTTTCTGCAAAGTCCAACATGTGCCACCACAAAGAGGAACCGTGCATGCAGCTCAGTGAATGCAGGAATTATCTGGTTTAGGTTCATTTAGGAGTAATTCATTATTCCTCTGCCTGTATGTCAGTATTTACTTCTAGGGTTTAGACTTTTTGTATTTGGTGCCATTTGTTTAAACTTGATCTGAATATAGTTTCTTAAACAGTTAATTAAAGTAGTATTATAATTGGAACATTTGCCTGTACACATTGGTCTGTTTGGCTGCTTTAGAATTCCAGATTGTGGAATATAAAAGTAAATAGTAGATAATAAGTAGATAAGTGTCATGAGTGAGTTATCAATTCCTTGGATCAGCTTCAAATGCAAGATACAACTTCCATTACTTGTTGGGCTTGTGTGGGCATGTTTGCTGATATTACTGTTTAAATCTATTGTTGCAATACAAAATCCTCGATGAAAAGGACTTAGGCAGTTGTAGTTTGAAGTTTGACGTAAAAGGGCATGCTCACACATAGATTTGCTTCGCCACAGGAAGCAAAGGTTTTATCCTAAGCCCCCTCGCTCCCACAATTTGGAAGTGAACGGGAGGCGAAGGTTAACCTCTGCTTCATTCAGGCAGAAATCATTGTTGAAAAAGGGTTTCCTCTTAATCATACAGGCTTGACAAGTTAGTGCTATTATAATAAAGACAAAAAAAAAAAAGACAAATATCTCATTCATTTAAAAATAACTAATAATAATAATAAAACATTGCAAGCAGCCAGGAACCCACACCATGATGTGAAAGGAGCCTCCTGTGGCAACATTTCATGCAGTCAAGGAAGATAAAGTGCAGCGATGAATCATGCTCACTGTGTTCATGATGTGCAAAAGGTCAGAGGTCACACAGTTTTCTTGGCTCGCTGAGCTGTTTTTCTGCTCTGTGCCCGTTTTCTTTTTGAGGTGAATACTAAGCCAGAAAAAAAGTATAGATGGAAACACATTCTTATCTAGATTATATCATCAGATATGTGTTTTTGGTTTGTGAATGTACAACATTGTGCTATGTTTAGCAGACAAGTGTGCTCAATGCCTCGCATGTCGATATTCACATGTCCATTATCATCATCGTCTTTGCCCTCAGCTTCACACAGACCTTGGTGAACATCCGGAACCGGCACAACAACGTGGTGCCCACCATGGCTCAGGGTGTGGTGGAGTACAAGGAGGCATTCGGCGTGGACCCCGTCACCAACCAGAACGTCCAGTACTTCCTGGACCGTTTCTACATGAGCCGCATCTCCATACGCATGCTCATAAACCAGCATAGTCAGTACTGTATAGCACTTGGTGATTGACTGTGAGTTAATCAATACAGTTGCCAACTCTCACGTCATTGAATTACAACGTGGTGAAAACAGAAGGGACTCTGTTGCAGCTTATGTCGCCATTTGATTGAAATCTTCTTACTAATTAAGTTTAACCGATTAGTTTAAGATTTGACTGATGTATAAAAACATAATCAACACTCAGCCTGCAGCCCTGAGAGAGAGATTTTGTCAATTATGTCAACTACTGTTAATATTCCCCTCTGCAAAGACCCCACTTTGCTTTATATGCACCTTGTAGTAAAGTCAATATTCACAGGTGAATGGGCTGTGCATTGCGTCTATTTATTGTGTTGTTTTTTAAATGTTTGTTTTTTGTTCGGCTCTGTAGCATTAATCTTCAACGGCAGTGTGAACCCAGCCCATCCCAAACATATCGGCAGCATTGACCCAACCTGTGATGTCGTGGAGGTCGTAAAAGGTGATGAGTCATCTTTCACACACACACACACACACACACACACACTGGATTTCTTATCTCCTTTCCATCCCTCACTGTTTGTGCAGATTCATGACTCTTTGGCATGTTTCCAGTATTATCTAATGTCCTTAGTGGTTATCTTGATGTATGTTGCTGTTATAGTCTGGCCTGTAAACGTGATAACTGCTTCACCAAAAGGCAGAAAACTTTAACGTCTCCTAGTGTTATTTTCCGTCCAACATGAGTTTTAGAATTTCCCAGGCAGTAATGTGACCACAGTTTGCTCTGTGTCACTTTGCAGATGCCTATGAGACTTCAAAGATGCTGTGTGAGCAGTATTACTTAACCTCGCCTGATATGGAGGTCAAAGAAATCAACGGTAAGTTTTTCATCCGTCTGTTTGTTGTATGCCTCTTGGTTTTTTGCTCTAAGGATCCGTGTTAGAGGAAATGTTCACTGGTGCTCTGCTAAAATTCAACTAATCTCTCTGAGACTAATTTGTGTTGTTTTAATTGAGGCCTGCTGAGTCTGTTTCCTGTCAGTTGTTCCTGCCAAGAGCCAGCATCAGCATTATGCATTCCTTGACCCTCATAGGTTATAGCACAGAGGAAGTGACCAAAACAGAAAGAGTTTAAGGATTTGGTTATGCTTATGCTGCAGCTGTAATTGCACACTATAAATTACAACATGTTTACATATGTACCCTGTGTGCCAGCATAGCCAGAGAAGCAAGGTGTTCTCCTAATAACTTAAAAGCGCATGGACGGATTTTCACTTCATTCAAAGTTCAAGGTCAACAAATATACTGAGCAAGAGAGATTTCGGTGGATCTTGCAAAATTGTGGAAAAATGTTTTTTCGATGATGATGATGAAAAGATTTATGATCAAATGGTGGGACAACAATGTCATTCTGTAGCCACATTTATATTATAGTGTGGTAATGCATTAACTTTGGCAAAAAAGTAAAACCAGAGACACGATCTACAGCTTTTTTACATCGACTATGTCATTTTTCATCTAATGGTATAAAACACAACTTAATGAAATTAGAATATGAGAGGCAGCATTGTCTTTTTGGGTTTTATACAGCGAGCAACTTGGTTGTGCCACTCTGAAGCTTTTCTTCACACTTTGTTCTTTGTTTTTCAGCTGATTAGCTAAGCCAATATGTACTTGTGTAAAACATATTTTTGCTAGTTTTCTAAAGGTTTAGTTGTAGCATTTAAAAAAGGTGTAATTTTGTTCGTATGATAATAATAATATGTTGCGTTTTCCAGCTGAAAACCCTGGCCAGCCTCTGCACATTGTCTACGTGCCGTCCCATCTTTACCACATGCTGTTTGAGCTCTTCAAGGTAAAGTGACACACAAACCTGAAAACCAGACGTACACTACTTTTCCACCATGTGTCTTATTTTGTAATCCATGTTTTCTATCAGAACGCCATGAGAGCCACAGTCGAGACCCACGAGATGAGTCCGACGTTGCCTCAAATCAAAGTGCGAGTTTCACTGGGTGCTGAGGACCTCACTATCAAGGTCAGTAAGGAAACAGAGTTAAAACAAACCTGGATTTTTCTACATTGCAAACCATTCCTTTAATTAAAGTAGTTCATGTTGTACTTCTATTCTTTACACAATTTCATCCGCCTTCCCCTGCGCTGTATGCAGACCCATTATGTACTGTAAATAAAAACCAGTTGTGATGACGTGATACACAAAGCGGATCCTTGTGCTCTTTATTTTTAGATGTCTGACAGAGGAGGCGGAGTTCCTCTGAGGAAGATTGAACATCTCTTCAGCTACATGTACTCCACCGCTCCCAGTCCCGTCCATGTAGACAACTCTCGCAACGCACCTCTGGTGAGACTGAGCATGTTACACATTGTTGTCATTGTCATCAGTGTTGATGATTGTCTAATGCCTAGTTCACACTACATGGTTTTAAGCCTGATTTTTTAGCAGCTGTTCTTTCATAGGCTAATCTGTAAAAATACTGCACCGCTGTTATTTTTCCTCCAGGCTGGTTTTGGTTATGGTCTGCCCATCTCCCGCCTGTATGCCAAGTATTTCCAGGGAGACCTGCAGCTCTACTCAATGGAGGGCTACGGCACATCAGCTGTCATATACTTAAAGGTGAGAATTGCGTTGCCTCCACACATACAAAGTCAAGAATTAATTAAAGCCTAAGTTCACCTAGGAATGTATTGTTAACTACACAAACTGGATAGATTGAGTTTTGGCTGATGTAGAGAAACTAAGTGAAAAGAAAGAATCAAGAAACAAAACAGATCTAATCAAGCACAGAACTTTGAAGAAAAAAACCGGATGAGACTCTCATTCAAATGCAAATGGGTTTGATAATGATCCAGATTAAATGATAATCATCGCTTCTGCTCTGCATCACTAGGCTTTGTCCTCAGAGTCCGTGGAGAGACTTCCTGTTTTCAACAAGTCTGCCTTACGGCACTACCAGGCCAGCACAGAGGCCGACGACTGGTGCATGCCCAGCAAGGATCCAAAGAAACTGGGCAAGCATGAGAGGACATGGTGATGACAGACTGCGGGACGAAAGTTAAGACAGTAAAGAAAAGTATGGACGTGTGAATAGTTAAATTAAGAAGCTGGAAGAAGTGGATAAACTTGTACTGTAGGCAAGAGAAGGCATCGAGTGCTCTGAGCGAGCTGCTGGACGTGGACCTGTGCACATGAAATCTGGATTCCTTTCCAAACCCTACAAGGAAAACACTTCCCAAGAATCAGATAAATGCAGTGAAATACCTGAGCTGAGCTATTTCTATCAGCCTCCAGACAATTTAGCCCCATTATATGAATATAATGGTGATGGAACAAGTCAAGTATTAATCTGCTTTATTATACTTTTTTTGTTTTTAGCCATAATAACATGTATACACTGTGTTGAAAAAAGCATGTTAGCTTTTTGTGTTGATGTCCTTTTTTCATGTCCACAATCGTTAGACTGGTAAAGTTCTTAGGTCAATGTAGATTACTGGGTTAAATTGTGTTTTTGCTGTAGGTTAAATCCATATCAGTGCCTTGGAAAAGCCCAGTGAGTCAAGTGAATGAGAACTGGAGCATGTTCAAAGTCCAGCATAAAGTCAAAGGGAGCAACGACTGCTCCTCCTGTAGCCGTTCTGTATTTCTTCTTCAGCTCTTACACAAGAGGAGCAGTCCAGAGACACAATAAGAGAAATGCATAAATGCTGTTATGTGTGCTGTGAGGTGATAATGCTTGGAATGATTTTGCTTTGATCACTTTGACTTAATCTATAGGTCAAAGTATCAGCTTGTTCAATAGAAACATAAACACAGGTGCCTTAGCCTTGGAACAATGCCAGGTCATTTTTAAAGTTTAATAATTGTTAATATTGAAAAAACACATGGACCGAGAAAATGAGAATTGTCAATACAAAGAATAGCAGCATATTTAAAGTTGATATGTGTAAGTGAAATGGGAATAGTGAATTTTCACATTAATTTACCTGCATGGAAACTGATGTGTTAATCACTGTAGGAACCAAAATTACCCCAAGTGTTTTTTAATGACACTTATTTTGTATATTTAAGTGATTTTCTGCACGTCAGAGGGTTTCAATGCTAAATGTTGCACTACAGAAAACTCACACTGTACTCTGTCATGCTCAGATTAGTGCAGCATGTCAACTGTATTGGAATAAATTCAGTCTAGCAGACATAGAAACAGACAGATGGTCAGATAAGGTTACATTTAAGCTGTATTGAATTATCTGTAACCACTATTTCACACAACCCTTAGAGGATGAGCAGTTGATGATGTACAGTATGAATAGATTGAAGAATGTCACATGTTTTTTCCTCTAATACATGTCAGTCAAATGCACTTTTCAGTTTGCATAGTTCATTTTAATCATTTCGTTGAGAATGTATTGTTTTCAAATTTAAGTATTCTTATCTCTCACTTATGGGGATCAAATTTAAAGATTTCTGAACCAATAGAGGCACGTCTTGGTCACTTTTTATCCTGAGAAACTTTATTCTCAAAGGCCACGTGTGGTTATAGTTCAATCACTTAAAGGACCAGTGAATGTAGAAAATAAAAATCTGCAGTTTGTCCCTTGTGGTTGCTCCGGTTTATTTCAGATGTATACTTTGTTGTTTTGCAGCATCAATAGTTAATTGTTTGTGTGTTGACTGTATTTTTTGCTCAGTTCGATTTATGCAACATGAAAGATGTCAGGATTCATGAGGTCACGGAGGTCAGAGCTGTAGAAATGAAACAGTTTCCAGTATGTTACGTAAACAGCAGCGTGTGGCGTGTCCTCTGCTCACTCTTCTCCCTCCGCAGCTTGTTTTAGGAAACTTTGCTCTGTTTGTCTGCCACCGTCGCAGACCGTTGGCTTCTCGTGGCCGGCTGCCATTGGGGGATGAGAACAGGCCGTCCTGCTCTGTTTTGCCCCTTCATTAGCGTGCCCACATGTTGTGCTCTATTCTGCTTCTGTCTCTTTCTCTGTTTGTCGCCCTCAACTCTCTTTTCCAGCTCATTGAGGTTTTATGAGCATGACAGCAACACAAGTACAGATTTATTTAAGCTCAGTCTCAAAGGAGAAAGAATAAAAAGTAAAAAAGAAGATCACTGCTGTGTCAGTGTCATTGCAACAGTCAGTCTCAAATAAAGGACGAACCCCCTCTTCTGCTGCCAAGGAGGTCTTGTTTTCACCTCTGTCCAATTGTTTGATTGTCAGCTGGATTACGCAAAAACCACTGAGCGGATTTCAACAAAACTTGGTGGAAGGTTGGGACATGGGCCAAGAAAGAACTCATTAAATTGTGGCACAGATCTGGACAAAGAGATTTTTCTTTCACTTTCTTTCTTCTTTCTTTTCTTTCTTTCTTACTTTTCTACTTTTCTAAGAGAGAAACATTTTTTTATGCCCCTGTGTCAGTGACAGCCAGTGGACAGAGGCATTCTGTTTTCAGGTTGTCCGTCTATCCCAAGCTTGGAAACACAGTATCTGAAGAATACCTTGATTGAATTTCTTCAAATTTGATACAAGTATTCAGATGGTCTCACTGATAAAGTGATACGAATTTGGAGGTCAAAGGCCATGTTAACCTTACAAATCCCTAGTTTTCCTCTGAATGCATTATCTGAGGAATGTCTTGAGAGAATCCTTTCAAATTTGGCACGTCTTTGGTCTTGTTAACACAATATGTCAAGAATGACTTGAGGGAATTTCTATATACAAAATATTCAGTACAACTCAAGTGGATAGGTGATTGGATTTTGTTGGTCAAAGTTCACGGTGATCTCACAAAACCCTTTATTGCCTTTTGAACACATTATCTCAAGACTATCCTCTCAAATTTGGCACAAATGTTTGCTTTTACTGTTGACAAATGAACTGATTAGATTTGGGTAGTCAAAGGTCAAGGTAGCCTCACAAAAAGCCTCTTGAACATTGTATCTCATGTCTGCCTTTGGGGAATTTCTTCAAATTTTGAGCAGTTGCCTCTCAAAGATGAGTTGATTAGATTTCAGGTGTCTAAGGTAAAGGTCAAAATCAGGCACATTTAGGGAACGGATATTAATGTGTGTGAAATTTGCTGCAGCTTGATTGGATTTAAAGTGACTGTTGGGCCATGGTGGATCCACTGAGTGCCATTATAGTCCTGACAAGTCTCTGACACTTGTGACACAGGGGTTTATTTTAAGATCTCAGAGAGTCAGTTGTGACCCTTTAGTCATCCAAACAATTTCCCTGCACTGGAGTATGTCTGTTGCACACACACACACACACACACACACACACACACACACACACACACACACACACACAGCTACAATAGAGATTCCATTTATTTTGCTCCAGACTTTTATTAAAATGTGAAAAACAAATATGAAGACACAGCAAACATTTAACAAGCATTCATTAACTGCTCTCAGTATTTACCCTTGCTAATTTACGGTTAAGAGAAGAAGTTGGAACCACAGTTTTGCTGCCTGAGCCTGTGGGCAGCACCTGTCTGACTTTACATATGGTTCGCTTTAAGATCACCAGCCTTGAAATCTGATCCTCTGTAAGCATTCATTTACAAGTGTGCACATGCTGTGACACAGTAACACAACATACCAATTCAACAAGTGCCTTCCAACTGTAAATAGGCTCTGTAACATACAAGAAGCAAGTACTGAATTAAAGAAAAAAAAAAATACTGAACCAATCTTCTTGACACTTTGTGGAACAGTAGAGTATAAGCCAAGGAAGAGGAACCCATTCACTTTTAGAGCAGATTTGATTATGAATTTCTCATGACACAATTCTTCTTGGGGATAAATGTTTATGATAAAAATCTGCCATATGTAAAGGGTTAATATCAATGAGCAGGTCAAATTTAGTGCAGATCTGGATAATGATAATTTTGTGAATCAAAATAAATATTTTTATAAGCAGGTGGATCTTTATTCAATTTCTGTACAGTAACAAATATGCTTTTAGTGTAATACAATAGGTAATATGGTGATAATGTGGCCAATCAGCCTTGGTGAAGTATTCGCTCTCCAAGTTCAATTCTAGTTATGTATGGGCCTGTGGACTGCTGTAAGATTTACATTACACCAACAGAACATAGAGTTACTAACATCTGGTGTACAAACACTGGAACAATGCAGTCCCACATATACTTGGAGTGAGCAAATAATGTGGAAATGTAGAAATATTTAACCTGAAAAAGAAAAAAAGTTAAAGAAAAATCACATAATTTGATTTAATAATAGCTTTGATACCATAACTTCTAACAGATAGAATTTTATTTTTGCCATCTGTGTATCTGTATCTTGTATGACAGGAGTTTGTTATATATTTCTGGCGATTGGGTATTAAAAAAATGGTATTGTTCCGTATTTGCGGCTACATGTGCAGTCTGTTGGAAAAACAAGCACTCGTGGAGCGCTACTGTCGAGTGTTTGTTCCGTTCTGGAGAATCACGAGAGCGTGATGGTGAGAGTGAGCATCAGGGCCGGTTGCCAGGTAGATTTGGATCCTCTGAAGTATGAAGCTGTGGTGTGGTAGAGAGTTGACAACACTGCACATGTGGATCATTAGTACAAAGAAAATTACACTAATATTAAAAACAGGCAAACGAGGTCTACAGAGAGGGTTAAATATAGAAATTGTGCAAAAGAGACAGAAAGGCACAGGTAGTGAAAAGTGTTGCAGTTCCATGTGGCAGGGTAGACAAATATCCTTACTTGTCGATCACTTTACATCATTATTAAAATTAGTGCGTCAACTAGCCTCAATAAATTGTCATTTTCTCACCTGTTGCTCTGTAAATGAGCTTGTACAGTGAGTTGATTTGTGACTTGTTGAAAGTTTGAGTTCCTTCTTCAGTTTCATGGGACGGGGTTTCTCGAGTTCCAGTCAAAAAGCCTCTGAATGAATGAATGTTTCTTATTCAAGCAACATATAAAAGCAGCCAATATGGAAATACAAGTCTCTCCATCAGTACAGCATCCCCTCAGGATCTAATAATAAGTATTTCTTCACGGGGCATGGCAGAGGAAGCTGTGCGACACCCCTGTGGCAGAAGCCGCCCAGGCTGGCTCTGATGGCACATCTGGTGAGGTGGAGCAGGCTGCGAGGAGTGTTGGTGCAAACGGCAAACAGAGAGTCGTAGAAGTCTTTATGTCGCTAAGGAAGAGGAATTCAGATGATTGTAGGCTTTTCACTGCTCTGCACTCATACAAATATACAGTACTATCCATAACATGTCCCTGTGTTACCTTGTAGCAGTCATCAGGAATGGCGGCTCTCCACTTCTTTGTGGGTTTTAAATGTTCATAAGAGTTGACCATGATTTCTAATACTCCGGGGTAGTCGTGACAGGACTGCAGAACCTGCACATAACAATACACAAGAAGACATTGTGCACAAACAATGACTGTCTGCTATCATCATATAAAATGTCTTAGATACTGTGTCTGGTAAGGAAGGTTACGTAATCGCCACTTGCAGTGGTTGGCGAAAACAACCGCATGGTGGTAATTCTAGTTCGACATTTTCACAAATTTCCCTGGGGAATAATTCATGGATCTTAATTTAAAAAAACAGGCACATCTAGAGGATAGATATCTATCAGTGTGTGTAATTTGTTGCAGCTTGATTGAAAACAAAAGTCACTGTTGGGACTTCAAGTTCAATTCTTTTCTTAATCATTTAATAACCTCGGTCTGTACCTTGTGGAACTGTGGTGGGTAGATCCTGGCTGCGTTATGGTTGAGCAGCAGCTGATAGCAGAGTTCAGGTATGGCCATCGCCCTTACGTCGGTCACTTTGAGGAGATACTGAATGGGGGCGCAGCCGTTGATGTCCATGACCCTTGTGTCTGCTCCGGCCTCCAGCAGCATCTGCATCAGGACGTGATCACAGTGCCAGGCTGCTTTGTGGAGTGCTGTTTTATGGTCTTCTTCTTGGAGGTTGGGATCTGGAGAAACAAAGAAAGATTCATGACACACACAAAAAATGAGTCTACCATTACACACAGGTCTTGATCCAGAATCTCAAACCTGCTTGGTGGTCCAGCAGGAGACGGCAGACTAAATGGTGATCTTCACTGTAGATTTGCTCTTTAGTGTCAAAAGCCCAGAAGGCTGCAGTTATCAAAGGAGTCTCCTGAAAAGAGTTGATTGCATTGACAGATGCTCCGTGGGCCAAATAAAGAGCCACCAGCTCTGGAACTCCGAATCTGGCTGCTGTGTGTAACGGTGTGACCTCATCGTTGTTGTAGCTGGGGATGTTGATTTTTGCACCTCCACGGGAGAAAAAAATAATAATTAATAATAATTTTGTTGTTTTGGCCTTTATATATCCTGTATTCATAATTGAACCCACACATGCATCTACCTATGCACCCCCCCTGCTGACCTTTCAAAATGAGCTGCTTGGCACAGTCCACAGACTCCCTGGTGATGCAGTAGTGCAGTGGTGTGTGCCCGCTCAGTGACAGGCTGTTGACCTTTGCCCCATGAGCCAAAAGTAAGTCCGTACACTCAGCGTTGGAGACCTCGCAGGCCACATGCAGCGGGGTCTTCCCATTAGGCATCCGGTTAATGGCCGCACCCTCCTGAAGGAGCACCAGTGCAGTTTCCACAGCGTTGTACATCACACACACATGAATACCCATCGCCCAGGAGCTCTCCAGTTTGTAGCCTGGGAGCCAATAACCTGCAGTAAAGAGGACAGCCAGCAGGAATTCTTAATGACAGTGAAGATTAGACGTGTTGATTATTCCTGACGTACACAGATTTATATCTTAGTCTTTATGTTACTTTACATCTCTATCTTAAAGGTTCAGTGTGTAGAATTTAGTGATATCTCGAGGTGAAGTTGCATGTTGCAGCTGAATACAGTTCAGCAAACATGACAGAGAACCTGTGGTGAACTTCAGTTGTCATGAAAACTCAAAAGCTTTTAGTTCTTTCAGTTTGGACGACAGTAAAAAAATATGACGGCCTCCACAGAGAGGAATATAAAGTATTTAAATATAAAGAGCCCATTCTAAGGTAAAGAAAACAACAATTCATAAAATGAGGATTATTTTATATTCAATTACTGCCAAAATTTAAATTAAATAGTGTAAACAGTACTTCTTAGACTGTTGTAATATCCAACCTTAGGATCTCTATGGGTTTAGCACCACCTAGTGGATGCAGTGCAGAACTAGTCCGCTGACGATATTCAGAAACTGTTGAAATCCTTTTTTGTATTTTTGTTAAGTCGATTTTACTATGTCAAATGCCTTGAGATAGTGCATGTTGTGACTTGGCACTATACAAATTAAACTGATATTAATTGAATTTAATCAACTTAGGCTTTCATCCTCCACAAAGGAGTCTGAGTCTGTTTATTTGTTTGTTTGTCAGAAGGATTTCTCAAAAAACTGCACCACCGATATTCATCTAGTTTGTTGTCATGTTTATCCTTCTGAGCCCATGCAGTATAAAGTATGACAAGCACACAGACTGGTTACAACCATAACACAGTCTGTCATACCGGGTTACCTTGTTTGTATGAGGCCAGGACCATGCTGGGGTCCTCCACTTCCAGCACCACGTCAATGTCTATCTTCCTTGTGTGCAGGATCTGCAGGACCTCCTGGGCATTATTGGTCTGCAGAGCCTCCAGGAACTTTAGCTTTAGCTGCTTGACAGCGAGTTGGCTGGGGCTGAACTCCTCCATGAGCTGAGGGCCTCGCACTGCCACACCACCCGGTTCACACACTAATGTTCTCCACACGATATGTAGTAAATCAAAAATAAAAGTACATATGGTGATAATGAAAGAATTAAGCATACCCACACTGGGAAGGCCTAGCTATGGGGGGGACGAAAATGAAGTCAGATGGGGGGCGTCAGAGGGAGAAAATAGTAGCAGAATATAAATAGAAAGGAGAAAGGGAGGGAGAGACTGGAGAGTTTCAGCTGACTGTGGCTGGCTACAGGTCAGTCACTCTGCTGAGAGAAAGACATGTATGCATGGTGGATCATGATTGCAGGGCAAATGTCTCTTTTCTTCTATTTAACCATTTTGACATGGCTGAACTGGATCTATACTTGTTTGAAATGTTTGAAAATCTGAGAAAGAAAGAAACAGAAACAAAGGAAGAAAGAAACAACAAAAGAAAATATAAGCCAAGAAAAGAAAAGCAAAGAAGTACAGGACAGATAGATAAATAGATATGGATGGACAGATGGAGGGATGGATAGATAGATGGATGGATGGATGGATATAGACAGACAGATGGGAGGATAGATGGATAGATATTTTGCAGTCTGTAGGGCTGCATGATATTTTGTCCCTGGCTGGCAAATGACCAGTTAAAACTATGTACACACAGCCTTAGGAAAGACAACAGAAAAAAAGGAAACAACAGGAGGCTATGGACAGTGACTGCACATTTTATTTAGTGTGACAGGTAGCTGCCCTTTCAAACTTTTCAGAATGAGGAAAAAAAAGAGAGATCAAGGTAATGACAAATAAAGGAGGAGGAGGAGAGTCAGCATGGCTATAGCAGTCTGATTATCGCTTGCTCTCTACGCACGTGAAGACAAAAACCCTTCCAGGCATCATGGCTGAAAACGCTGCGAGGAGCACCAGGGTCTCGTCCACACGTTGGGTTTCATCATGCCAGACTAGCTCGGTTCAAGCACGTAAAGAAAAAGATTTGGAACACACATGGGCTCAGGTCTGAGCTTTCATGCCTCCTCAGCCCTCGACAAACGGCGTACGCACACTGACACGATAGAAAACAAGGCGTCTTTAGGATTCTTACAGCATATTGCTCTGTGTTTTTACTATACATACAAAAGAGTCAAAAAGGAGTGAGGGGGGTATTCACAGAGAGGTTCAAGTGTTACAAAATATTTCATAAGAATACACCGTGAGCAGTTTATTGGGAGTAGTACTGTAGCAGCACTATGGTTGTATTAGAGGAAAAACCACAAGCACAATGGGAGAGAATCACTGTTTCTTCTTGCTTCTTGCTTTCGTTCGATAACAACCATTTAAATCTAAGACATTTCTAATGAACAGCTTTAATTAGGTTTTGGCAAAAAAGGAAGTAATCATACAATTCTGGATAAATCATTATTAGGTGTTAATAATACTCTTATTTTGTATAAGTTATCATAAACAATAGTCAGTTGCTTTGTTAAATACAGAAATAAATAAATTAACAGATCTGTAACCCAAACTCTTCTTCATGTTCTTAACCTGTTAACAGTTCACCAGGCAGGGCCCTTACAGACAGAAGGGAGCAAAACTCAGAGCTGCCTTCATGTCTCATCACGGTGACACTGGCCTCTCAATAATTACTGTAAATCTAATGATTCCTGGGAATGATATAGAAGTAACACAGGGAACACGTCTCTCGGTGATAATCAAAAACAAGAGCTGCATAAAGTACACAGGTCAAAATCAATTTCAAAAAGGTATATTTTTCATCTAACTAGAAAAATCAAACAGTGTTTTAAGTCTTACTGAAGTGGTTTCATAAGAAAATTAAACTATATTGCATCTGTCAGGTGCAATTTCCAGTGTAACATCAGAAGTATCAGGTTTAAGACAATTTCCGCACGTCCAATGGTCACAGAGATAAACCACGTGTATGGCAGCATTCTTAAATATTATTAAGAATATTCCAGAGTCATTTGCACGGTGAACGTGACCTGCGATTCTTCTGAAAGAATAAAATAACAATTGAAGATGGATTTAATCTACTGTATGTGTCTCAACACTCACACAGAAGCAGGTAGAATTCTGACAATTCTACTTCTCTAGAATTTCTAAAGGCAGCGATGGGGTATTATTTTTGTTATTGAGAGGATATAAAAAGTGGTCAGAAGCAGGTTACAAGCAGAGTCAAAGCAACATTACGCATATAAGCAGGAAGATTCTTTTTCTCGTCTTTTTCTTTTGTTTTATGGTTCGGGTTTGGTAAGTTACAAATTTCATGATTACTTTGTACCTGAAGTCTCCATTAGAACCAGTCCAATGAGTACAGCATGTTGTTGCCATTTTTACATAGAGAACTGCTTTAGTTATGGTACATGTATACTGTAAGGAGCACTGGACAAGCTAGTGCAGTGGTTTGCATTTACAGTGTTTGCACCTCCAGTGTTCTCGTACATACTGAGAGACTTTTTCCAGTTTCTAGTTCAGTTCTTGTTGGAAAGTTCTAGTGTCATCTTTGTCAGAAGTGACAGCAAGCAGCATGTGGACACCTGGTGGTGGGAGATGAGAACTGCCTCATATATTCCATGAACACACACTGACGTGTGTGCTTCAAAGCAATAGATTTGATGTATCTGAACAGTATATACACAAGTCTATCAAAATGGCACATCAGACAGATTTTTATCTGTATACGTCATTGTATATGTACACGGTCGCTGTGTCTACAGGTGCTATGATGGCCCAGAGAACGATTAGCGATGTGGATGAAACAGACTTAACACAGACTCACTCTGGATGCGATAAATAAACCCAATTTACAAGCCATAAATAGCAAAATAAATAGAACAGAGTGAATTCTTAAATGTCTAAACACACAGGATGGGTGAAGGAAAGGAGGGGCAGCATCCTATTATCCAACTGTTCATTTTGGTTTAAATTGCTCGGTGATGAAGTCACTTCACAATCTGACATTTTGTGGTGGAGCTCCAGCACTACTGAACTCCTGAGCAGGTATCCCTCAGGGTTCATATGTAGGGCCGACTGACGTTCTGTTCCTTGATGCTACTGGTTGCAGCGCTACAGTAAAGGTAAGCTCATGACCCGCTTCACTCTGCCGCACATTCTTTGTGCGCCTCTTTCTGCTGCTCCAGCTCTCTCTTGCGTAGCTTCTCGCGTTGTTTCTCCAGCTTATCGTGGTTCCTCTTGGCCTTCTCCATCAGAACTTTAAGGTCTTTGATCTTTTTCTTGATCAGGGCACGGTCCTGAGAAGAACTGACTCCAAGGGCCTGAAACATAAGAGCGTTCAAATATTGACATTTGAGAGTCAATACACAATCTATCTGCAATATTCAGCAATAAAGTTACATCAAAGTTAGTTAATATTCAGTTAAAATAAACACACAACATAATGATCATGAAAAATAGATTTGTCAATACTCATTTTCCCTCAAAAACAAAAATATAATGGCAGCACTATTTCTAATTTCTCAGTTTCTAAATTTGGCTTTTCTACATACTGCAATTACATGTATACAATACCAATACACTATATCTACAGGCTCTAATGTATCTGTATGTAACTCCAATATATGTATAACTACATGAAGTTTTAACCAACCTTTAGCTCAGTGCTATCAAGCTGTAGCAGCTGTTCTCCGTCTATGTTTTTGGCAGTGAATTCTGGGATATGGTGTTCTAAGTTGAGGCCCAAGAGCCAGCGGGCCACTTGCTGGGAAGTCCACTCTGTAATACTGCGGCTCTGCCACTGATACTGCTTCGACAACTGTCCCTCGTCCAGGATCTGAACACAGATAAAGAAAGGCGGAAAAAAACAACCCTGATGAGATGCACAAATTCTCATTCTGTTTGATACAGATTATATGACCAGGCACTAAAAGTATCTTCAACAGAAAACTAGATGAATGACAAAAGGAGATGAAATTAAATATCACCATAAAAAAGGGGAAATACAATGGGAAATGTATTCAGTAAATACTAATTCTGTGGGACACAAATAATGACTATAAATCATGTGGAAATGAAACAGACAAATGGCTTCTTCTCAAAACACAAACGTCCTCTGTAGACCCGCAGCCTCCGTCTCACCTCATCATCTATCATATCCAGACTCTGAACGTGGCAGCATAGAAAACAACAGAAAATGATTGTGTTGTTAACAGAGCAGCAATAAAATGTCTTCCAGCACAGCGGCCAATAACATTTGAATACAATGAGCCTAAACAGCTGCATTCATCATTCAGCATCTTGTCATCTGTAAGAAGAATGTGAGAAAAGCAGCCGATGATATTATTTTTCCTGTCAGAAGAATCTATAAAGAAAGATAAATTAGGCAATTGACAAATAAAAAATGACTCTCCAGATTTCTTTTACCTCATATGAATACAAACAAACAAATTGTTGAAGCAGAGTTTGGATTCCAAAAGTGAATTATTATTATTATTACTATTATTATTATTATTATTACTTTAATTGCTTCTGTGCACTTCCTCTACTCCTGGACCATTCTTTAACTTGATTGTTGAGTTTTGGTCTTTTTTTTAGATGTGTGTCTGTTTATGTACACTGAGAGCAATGTTAAACTGGAGTCAAAATGTGAACACATACTAAGCCAATTAAGAATGGGGTGCAAACATTTGTGTATGTGTGACTGTGCCATGACACTGCAGTAAACAAATGCCAGTCTGAAAAAAAAGAAAAAAGATTCACATGAAATATCACAAGATTGTGCGTGTACCTCGTCTGAGGACAGCCCCAGTGTGTGCGAGCGTCCTGACATCTTGGCTTCACCCAGCAGACCGCTGATCTCCACCGAGCTACTGCTGCTGACGCTCAGATCATCATTCAAAGTGGGTCCCTGAAAAAAAGATAAATCAATAAATAAATAAATTCAACAACACACTTACAAGCCTCATCTTGAGACGCAGCCACCTCTGGGCCTGAATTTAGTGGAATTTAGTTCAGAGTGCTTCTCTCTTATTGATGTTTCTGTTAAGTGCTATTGATTAAAAATGACACGATGTAGCATTAGTGTGATGATGCTGTAAATTTAAATCAGAGGGAGTTATTTAATCTATTTTCTTACACGGAGAGGGTGAATGTGGAGTGACTGAATCCAGAAAATGAAGGGCTTTTCCTCTGTGCACCAACCAAAATGAAAAATAGACGAGTGCAAGAAGACAGGGGCTGTGCACGTAAGCTGCTCCATCACAAACTGGTGGTTAGAGATGATGTAGCTGGATGATATCCAACTCCCAAAATCTGTCACTTTGTCCGAATGAGTAGGACAGTGTGGACATACAGGGATTACATTAAGATCTGTGCTTAAACAGCAGCAGACAAGTTGCTGATATCAGGAGGAGGAAAGCATGAGACACACTTGTTCTGTAGAAAAATGTCTCTTCATGAGATAAAGGTTAAAACATCACATTTTGACTTATGAGGTGAATTAACCCTTAGTCAACGAAGCAACAGAAAATGTAATTCCTATAAGATTTTGACATAAAAGCGATCATCAATCTTTGCCTCACATTTAGTTTTACACTGTAGTTTGAAGAGGTTCTTTGAGCCTCTGTACTCATTGAAGTAAAAGACTAAATTTACATGTTTAGACTTTAAGCTTTCTGGACTGAATCCTTGCTTAAAACCTCCACTTTAATATATATGTGCATAAATTGTGCATTGAATTATCTTCTGATGTGTGCTCCTCTTGAGCTCAGAGTGAGCCCCTTAGGGAGCAAAAGAAGGGACTGGATCAAAAATAATCTCCATTTCAATCCTGAGGTGACGACATCTGATTAGAAACAGGTTTCATGCAAGTTCATACACTACAACAGATGCCCACGTTAATAACTGTAATCGTATTGAATCAGTATGAAATGTAACTTAATAAAGATTCAGAATGAAACTGATTTGCACTAGGGGCATTTGGGAAGATTTTGTAAAAAAAAAATGCAATTTAAATCTTAAAACCTATGATTTTCTTGCAGTTTCGCTGATGATATAACGTAGATTAGAAAAGATGTTTAGGATCATGTCAGACTAATCATCTTTGTTACAATTAATTATGCAATTATGCATTTCATTTGCTACTAAACCCTGCTTACCTCAGAGAGTAGCAACACATACCTATTTCAGTAGATTGAAGTATAATTGAACAAAACACAAAAGAATACAATACCAAGTAGTATGAATAGGAGAAGAAGTGGGGCCATGTAAGGGAGGTCTGTTCAACAGAAATAACACAATGCGTCTAAGTGGAATGGCAAAGTAGAACTTACAGTATTGAACGTATGATTATACTGAAGTCTGATAATACGCCTACTGGGACTTTACATCACCTAGAGCTGAGAAAAGTGTCTTTTAATGTCCTCACTGTAAAGTGTCTGTCAAGTCAATCACTATTTGCTCAAAGTACCAGCTGACAAACTTCTTGTACCTTGACCTTGAGTTTCTCTGGACTGTCCTCGACTGATGGCTCTGTGGAACTGAAAGAGGGAGAGAGAGAAGGGGAGAGAGAGAGGGATAGACAGAGAGAGGGAGGGAGAGACACAGGGAAGGAGGGGGGAATGGAGGTCAGTGGTTGATGATTACTGTACCACACTTTATTAAACAGTTCCTGAAACAGTAATCATTGACTATGTTTACATGAACAGCAACATTCCAATTATTTAGTTTATTCTAAATTAGATTTATTTATAGCATTTTCTATTTATATTCACATTACAGAGCATAGTCTGATTATGACAACATTACGTCCTACGACTTGTTGACACTCAAACCCAGGACATGTGTCCTCAAGCAGCTGGTAACTGTCATATGTAGTGAAAACTCTAAAAGGACTCCACGTCTTAATTTGAATATTGCTTATTCCCAGTATGCGCTCATTTGAGTTAAGGTAATCAGAAAATACTGTTTTCATGGCAGTGTCTTATTCAGACTATTGTCTTAATCTGGTTTACATGGTGTCCATGTGAACTTGGACTACTAGAACTGCTCCAGAACACTGTCTTATAAAAGATAACTGTAACTCTGAAGCTATGATCATTTACCTGTTTCCAGGTGAGGCTCTGGGGTCTCTGTCCTTCACTTTGGTTTTCCTGAGAGACCTGAGTGAAGAGGTAGAGACAAGAAAACATAGTTTGACTTTGAATGTAATAAAATATTAAAAAACCTTCAATCTTGTAAGTGCTTTGTCAACCGCAGACTTTAAATAACGATTGCTTAGAGAGCAGCCTGGTTGTGAAGAGGTGTCCCTCTTCAATTTGTGGATCCAACTAGTTGAGTAAGGTTTGAGAAAACGGAAGCACTCAAGAGGTTAATACATTTAAGAAGCGTTTAAAATAACATGACTGTTCAGTCATTGTAACAATTAAAACCATGCCTAAATGTTTCAGCCATAGAGACCTTATCAAAGCAGTATTACACTCCTGGGTGTCTTAGATTTCTCAAATCTTACTCATTGCTGAATACAGAACTTGCTAATATGGCGTTCCAGTGTTTGTGGTCTTACCCAGGGTCCAGAGCTTGTCTGTCCAGACTGTGAGATGGGCTCGACAAGGCAGGAGACCGAGAACCTGGGATTACAAACACCCAACACTGAGATCAATGGGTTTACACAATTATCAAGAGATATATGATAATGAGAGAAATGCAGTTTACATAAATAGAAAGTAAGTGCATCTATGAACGTACCATCCTGGACGATTCCTGTGGTGGAGGACGAGTGCAGTGTTCGTCTGGGGGAGCTTTCTGCACTGCCGGGACCCCTGAGGACCACTGCTCCTCCATCACAAGACGTCACACTACGAATCGAACCAGAGCGACTGTGTGCTGGACTGCCATGTCCCTCTGATACCTGAGGACAGAAGTAAATGGAGAAAAACAGGGAAAGAAAGGTGAAGTCAGTGGGAGAGGAGAAGAGAGTGAAATAAAATGTGAAAGGAAGAGAAAGAGAATTGTGAAGGATGAAAATAAATGAAATTTGTAAGAGAGGTTTCGAAGTACTCCCGCGAAAAGGAAGAATGAAGTGCCATGAAAGTAAATTTGATCGGAACAGCCAGCACCGCAGACTAATCTGAGAGAAGTCAGTTGACATACTTTCACTGTTTCTAATTCTCTAATTCCTTGTCCTCTTTTTTCTCTCTCCCTGGAAGCGTCCTGTGTTCCTGCCATTTGTGATCCAGTTCTCAAAACCAATCTGGACTCACTCCTGCTCTGGCTGAGTTAAGGGACGGCAGTATCCTTTCATCCAGAAAAAGAATGACTGTGGCCATTATTATCTACAGGGAGAGACAACAAGTAGTGACAGCACCGCAGATGCAATTAGTCCGGCTGAGCAACACTCACCAATTAATCCATTAAAGGACTAAAGTGGAATGGACAGGGGTTAAAGACACACAAACATGCTGAGAGACATGCACACACACCAATTAGACATCCTGTGTTGAAATTAAAGGCATGTTAAATGTAAGTGTAGTCTAATGAGAGTGATGGAGTTGGTTTGATTAAGCATCACATAGATCCACATCACATCTGGATGTTGTTGTTGAAGCTGATGTTTCAAATATGTATATTTAAGCTTCACTGAACAATGTGTGTGTGTGTGTGTGTGTGTGTGTGTGTGTGTGTGTG